AAGCAGATAAACTCAATCCATGCATTTGTTACTTCTAGGCTGGATTATCTGGCGATCTTTATTATCAGGATGCAGGTTGCCCTACATAAGTGCATTAAAAACGGCTCAATTTAATTCAAAACGGCCTGCAGCACGAAGGTACTGAGCAGGAACTAAGGAAAAGAGATCACATCTCTCCTGTTCTAGCTCTCTGCATTGGCTCGCCCTGTAAATTTAGAATAAATTTAAAATCCTCCTCCTCACCTAATAAAGCTCTTCATGTCAGGCCGCCTTCAATAATCTCAAAGAGCTCATCAGTACCATATTGCCCCTCCTAGAACACTACGTTCTCAAAGGAATGCTGGGCTATTGTGGTTCCCTATAGTCTCTAAAAGTAAGGAACAGGAGGGCCCAGAAGCTTCAGTTACCAGCTCCTCCCCTGTGGAACCAGCTTCCCAGTCGTGGTTCGGGAGGCAGACACCCTCTCGCACATTTAAGAGTAGCTTAAGATGTTCCTCCTTTGATAAAGCCTAATAGTTAGGGGCTGATCAGGTGAATTGCTAATAAACACTGAATATTATTGTCGTTATTATTATTTTAGTTATTATTAAGTATTATTATTGCTACAGTTTAGCTGTTTTCCGGTGGCTCGCTGTCCCCATTAGTTGCTGTGCTGTCAAATGTCCATCAGTCTTTTTTCATGATCGTCACCGATCATTACTAAATTGAATTGAATTGAATTTTCGCTGATCCATCTCCACACTGTGCCCCCACAGATCCAGCTGTGGGACACTGCAGGTCAGGAGCGCTTCAGGAAGTCCATGGTGCAGCACTACTACCGCAACGTGCACGCTGTCGTCTTCGTCTACGACGTCACCAACGCTGCCAGCTTCCGCAGCCTCCCAGCCTGGATTGAGGAGTGCAAGCAGCATGCACTGGGTACAGAGGTACCCAGGATTCTAGTCGGAAACAAGTGCGACCTCCAAGACTCCATCCAGGTGGGCACAGATGTGGCGCAACAGTTTGCCGACGCCCATTCCATGCCTGTGTTTGAGACGTCCGCAAAGAACCCAAACAGCCAGGACGGAAACTATGGCGGAGGGAACAGTGACCACGTTGAGGCTATTTTTATGACGGTGGCCCACAAGCTGAAGTCTCAGAAGCCTCTGATATTGAGCCAGCCACCCGAGGGATCAGGGGGTACCATCAACCTGAGCAGGGGGAGGGATGATGGGGGAGATGGGTCCAGGAGCTGGAGCTGCAGCAGCTGCTGAGGGAGAAAAATGGAGGGAAAGAGGGAGAGAACTTCAGCCTGAGGCTGCACAAAGAGATTGAAAACGGAAGGGGGCAGAGGGAAGAGGCTGAGAGAGAGAACGGTTCTAGCTTCATAATCAGCACAACACATAGATGAATGTCTCAAGAGGACACTTTTTTTTTAATGCTTGCTTAACTTTATAAATTACTTGAAATGGTCGTGGGATAGAATTTATAGATTGTTGTTGTTGTTGTTTAGGGATGCCAAAATCAAAATGGAAATGATCCTGAGTGAGGGGCCAAAACTGAGTCTAACTCAATAATTTAAGCTCCATACATTTCTTTATTTACAGTTTTACCATGGCCTGATGGGAGGGTAGGACTTGTACAGGGGGGAAGCAGAATGTGTTAAAATACAGCCTGTGCCATTTTGTTTGTAATTTTAGGCCATAATCTGTGACAGTGTAGTATAGACGGTATTATATTTAAAGGTGTTTGTGTTATTTTAACTGCCCCCTTCTTGTAATTTGTGTTTGCATTCATCTCAATTTGCGATACTCAATTTGGCTTAAGCTCAGCCGTTTCATTAAAGGTGCCCTGTGGAGTTCTAACACTAATGTGTTTCTTCTTCATGAAACCAGCGTCATTAAAGGGCCTGTACGATATTTTTATTGTTAAAATAAGTGTTAAACGGCAAGAACAGACAGGAGGTTTACAACGTCCACATTTACTGCACTGTTAATACTTATGTTTGCTAGCTATCTTTGCTAACACACTGTTAAATGTATCATATCACCACCAAATGTCCGTCAGTGGAATAGTGTTGACAAGAAAATGTATTGTCAGCAGCGTCAAAAACTCCACAGGGCACATTTAAGTCTGGCTGCTTTAAATCCAAAAACAGATTCTTTAACAGAAACGGGCTTTGCGTCTTGAGGGAAGCTCTTTCATATCCACGTTCTGTTTGTAGCAGATGCAAGCTCACTCAGACCTTGTAGTTGATTGGAAAAAAGTTTCCGTTTTCATACTGCTTAAAAAACATTGTGGGGCTCTGAGGGGTAGTTGGTAAGGTTTGAGTCAGTGTGATTCAACTGAAAGGACATCTCCCAATCCATCTGCATTAAGTGATTACTCATCTTCTTTTAAGCTTTTTGATGAGTAGAAACCCCTCGTCTTTGGCCACTGCTAGCATTTTCATGTCCCTTCAAGACAGTTATTTTTACATAACATTTTCTATCAGGAGACAAAAAGTTGAATCAATGCATCAGTACAAAAAAAGCTATTCAACACTTCAGCCATCAAAGTCAAGACACCATGCAGTGTTATTGTTAATGTCTGCTAATGGAATTGGTTGTCCCAACATAAATTACCAGAAGAACTTAAAGCCCCTATAATCGATTTTTATAATAACAATGTGTCATGACAATGTGACTGTGAAAGAAGGCGCTCATTGTGATGAACCTACAAAGAGTTACCACCGCAATCTACAGCTCCCCTCAACTGAGCTTTACAGTGAGTTGTCGGTGGTAGGAGGCCGTGGAAGCCTATTTCCACCAATGTGAAGGGGGAAAAAGAGATTCTGTAAGTCATTATAACGAGAAACTTTCTCAATATTTTGATTTAGTATCTGAAAATAATGACTTTGTGATTAAGTCATTATTTTGAGATTCTAAGTGAGTATTTTCAGGATGTTTCTCGTGGCTGGAAATGGGCTTCCATAGAAGGCAGCTGTTTTCTGGGAAAAAGCTTTAAAACCCCGCTGTACACTACCTGCTCAGCACCAAACAGTTGACAGTCACAGTTAGCGACTAGTTTGTGAACAACGAGGAGCATTGAGCAGCTAAAGAGACGGTTATTTCCCTCAGGAGTCAGCCAGAAACAGGACTTTATAGGACTAATAATGTTGCTACATAACTGCTGGACGAGTACATAAGCAACCTTTTGCTAACAAATCAGCCTCTGTCAGCGTATAAACTCCCCACAATAGAGCAGTGGTTGGCAGAGTGTTATGAGACAGAATGCAATGGTTGGATGAACTGTATGTGCTTGCTAACTGGCCGTTAGCCGTCAGTAACAGTTGTGAATAATGTTCGGAGGGAGTAAATGACCCAGTACAGAGAAAACAAACACTTTGAGAGCTGTGGCTGGCTAATGCTTGTTTAGCTCAGTTTGTTAGCATGCAGCAGCAGAGCTAACAGTCTGTATAATGGCAGCGTGATGTTTAAGGACCAGTGTGTAGGATTCAGCGGCATCTAGCAGCCAAACTCATTCTAAGCTAATAAAAACACAATGCTTCCTTTCAGGTAATTGCACACTAATGATAACATACCTATGGATATTATGTTCCATTTCTGTCAATAGATCCTCCTCAGTGTGACACACTGGACCTTTCACATCTCAAGGTGAATCTTTAAACACATCTTTTGGGGAATGTAACTAGGAATCGTCTGTTAATTTAACCATAAAGGACACAAAGGGAACCTGTAAGGAAGTTAGAGAGAATAGTCTGTTAGCCGTTCCCCTCTCTTGGTAAAGAGTTTAGTACTGTGTAGGATAGCCAGTGAATCAAACACATACCTCTCAGTGTGCAAGGCTTAGTAGTGTGCACCTCCACATGTACATGGATGCCTAAACCCACTACTTACCCTGTATGTAAGCTTGTGCTACAATATTCAGCATGTCTCTCAAACACCATTGTATGATAACAGCTGACGTTTACTTCTTCATATGCCATAATGCATCATAGACTGCAGCTTTGTCTTAGTGGTTAGGGATGTTTGTCGTGGCCACAGCTGGTCCTGTGGCTCCTCTGCCAAACGCCGCAGTGTTAATGTCTTCTTCAAGGATGAGGACTGTCAATCAAACCAAAAGGCCTTCTCTCAGGACTCTGTTCAGAGGCTATGCACACGGACGGAAAAGACTTAGAAGCACAGACGCGGGCTGTTATCTGCAGCTGTGCGGCTTGTCAGTAATGTGACAACAGTGGAAGACATCATGTGGGTGTGTTATTGTTTAAGATTTGGTTGCTGCTTTCTTCTTTAAGTGTCCTTTGTTTTTGATAAATACCACCCCCCTCCAACCATCCGCCTTCACACCGGGTCCTGCTATAATTTCCTTTGCCTTACTTTATTTCACTACAGCCATGAACAGCAAATATTGCTACTGTATCTCTCACTGCAAATGCCCAGAAAGAAAAACATCCAATTACAGAATGGTATTAATTTACAAAGGGACTGGTGAGTGAACCTGCTAGGGGCGAGTAGTTGCAATGGTTTTGTCATGTGTACCTTGCAATAAACTACCTTGGACATCTCAAAATGTGGAGTCACCTCTCTTTCGAAAATCACTCAACTCAGTCAGGTTTTATTTATTAAATACACATAAAACATCTTAGAATTTATATATTGAGAACACTATTTACTTTCACACAGCACACAGGGAAATAGGCACAGGTCACATATACAGGTATTCAACTTTGGCAAGGTTTAAATGAATTTGGCGACAAATCTTTGGTCGAAGAGGAAATAAAGACACTGCCACAGTCCAAAGTGCTTGTTCTAATCAAGAGCAGCAACTCAGAAAAGATCTCTATACAACTTTCCAATTTGACATCTTTAGAGTTTTCAGATTCCTTCTCTCTGTCCAGCTTCAAAAAATAAGAAATGTAGGCACACCTTTACAATCCATAATCCTCTTTGGAATGGAGGAAACGAGCAGGAATGTGTAGGACCAGTCTCTAATGTGGAAGTGTGTCAGGTCAGTCTGCTGTATGGAGGCAGTTTGGAGGGAACCTCCTCTTCCTCAGTGGTGCCCTGGTCAGTGGACTGAGCTGGAGAGTTGAAGAGCCTGTCGTCACCTCCTGCTGGACGCAGAGGAGAGCTACATCAAGGGACTGCTCACTGCTGAGAGCAAGGCTTCAACGCTACCAAACGCACAAGTATCAGCAGCAACTGTGGGCGAGGGTTAGCTTAAAGATGATGTTTAACATCAAGTCTTACCTTGCCAAGTGCAAACCATCTCAGTGTCCCCAGGGTCACACTGAGGAACCAGCGTTTCCTGCAACACACACACACAAAACACATCCTTTCATATCTTATCTGCAAAGTGTTTAAAGGAAGAAAAAAAAGTCTGGTTCTCAGAATAATCAACATGATAACCCTGAGTTTCTTACCTGACAGGAATGTCACAATATACTACAGAATGTCCTAATCACAGGAATCTCTTATTATGGTGTTTGAAGTACAGTCTAAGACAACTGACTGTCTGCTAAACCCCTTTTTCAATCAGCAATTCTAGTTTAATGTTAGTAGTCACGGCTCATCAGCTGACTACAACATTTTGTGGGGTTTCAGATTATGGCAGTAAAAACCCCATTCAGGAGAGAACATCCACTCATCCCACTGGATGCTATTAAAGTTTAGGGTGGGGTTGAGTGAGTACTCAGCTGAAACAGTATCTGGTACAGATAATGGACTTTTTACGACTATCAACGGAGGAAAATGTGCTATTATTCATACTGAATATAGCAACCTCTATTAAAACATTGCTCTGAAGCTCAATTCTGAGGCTGCTCTGTAAATAGGTTTCTTACTATGATAACATGTATGTAGTCATCACATGGTTAAAAGATTTTGTAGTTTTAAAACAAGTCAACTAACATTAGCTTACATAGCAAGCTAGCTAAAACTGATAGAAGCCAGCAGTGACTATTTAAAAAACTGCTGGCTAGAAATAAAAAGCTGCTTTTCTATACCAATGTCAGAAATCCAAGCCCTGCATCTTTGCTCTGGGAGCCAATAAGAGTTAAGCAAGCCTTGGTCAACTTTCTCCTTTATTGTACTTAAGATATGCTACATGGTGGGCTTGTCTATGGTGGAAAGACAACCACATTTTCAAGATGGTTAAAAGATAAAAGTCTCATCTTAAGTGAGCTAATGTTAGTAAGCGGCTACCTAACAAGCTGGCTAATTTACATCAAAAGTTAGTCAGCTAGTGTTCTTTTTAGCATCAGTACAGTACATCAAAATGGAGATTAGATTGCTTTTGCTCATATTAAGGCTATTTGTGGTGACTCAGTTCTTCCCTACCAATCCAGTTCTGGCATCATAGCAGCCACAGCACGGAAGACTGCGGCAGCCCACATAGGCGATGAGAGAGGAGAGAGCCAGGCTGATGGTGCAGGTCAGCAGTATGGTGGCGTTGGCCCCCTTCACCATCCGATGAAGCACAAACGTCTGAGCAGAGAGACAAAGCGTGTATAAAGACCTGTGGTAGGTGGTCATGGCGGTGATGTTGTACAGAACAGAGAGCTCAGTGTGACCTTTTAAAACAGATCCCACCAGGGTTGTACCCAGACATACTTCTGTGGGTGGGGTTGACTACAAGATTCATTTTCAACATATAGACACACACAGTGTTGGTCCAAGGGCAGTCGGCCACTATACAGAAGATTAGGGAGTCACAAAAATCATTAGGAATCATCTTCTCTATATCAATATTTATACCAATTATAATTGATGTCTGGCCAGTAGTTCTCGAGATATCTTGCTCTCTGTTGGATTGACTGAGAATGACATCCTCAAGCTTCACTGCTAGTGCTGCAAACAATGGCCAATTTAGTATTGCACTTCCAT